TCATATTTTAACCTTTGATACATTTCCCGCTTGGCCTTCCAGAAAGAATGTGCCAACTCTCAGTCCTACCAGCAAGTGTGGGAGAGAGACTCTTTGCCCACATCCTTACCAACAGTTTGTTATTTTTAGTATCTTATCCCAGAAATTGGATATAAAAATAAATAGAAGGAAAGGATGGTTGCAGGCTCTGAGAAGGAAGTTTCCTAAACTGATCGGGTTTTTTTCTACCTTGTTCAATAAAAGAAATGAGGCTGAGGCCATCCTACTCTGCAGACTTTACATCATGAGTATGACAGTTCAGAAATCCAAAGTCAGGATGTGGCCAATAGAACCATCAGCTCATTTTGTACCCATTCCCTTAGGAGGGACTCCAATAGCTTAGGAAAGACTTCTGGCTCTGGGGAGGGACAGGTCAGATGTTTAGTTCCAGTTCCAACTCTTTTTTTTTAAGATTTTATTTATTTATTTATTCATGAGAGACACAGAGAGAGAGAGGCAGAGGGAGAAGCAGGCTCCATGCAGGGAGCCCAATACGGGACTTGATCCCAGGACCCCAGGATCACGCCCTGGGCCAAAGGCGGTGCTAAACCGCTGAGCCACCCGGGCTGCCCCTAGTTCCAGCTCCAACTCTTACTAGCTGTTTGATCTTAGGCAAGTTACTATAGCCGGTATGCCTCGATGTCCTGGTCTGTAAAATGGGGGTGGTGAACACAGCACATATCTGAAGGAGTGGTTGTAAGAGACCACATAATAAGCTGTGAGTTCCGGGTGTGAGATGACAAGCTGCCCCTGGAGAGCCATACATCCTGTCAGCATGAGGCATGAGCCCCAGCCGCACTCTTTCTGCTCCCTTTCATGCCACCCCGAGGTCCCTGGAAGTGACAGAATTTCAAGGTTATCTGGATCAGAAAGGACTCCCCAGACCTCAGTCTTGTCCCCTTCCCGCCACACACGGGAGCTTCTGTGTCCCTCGGAGATGAGCTCCCCTCACCCTGATCTGTTGCTCAGGGGCGTAGCTGGGGTAGAGGAAGACTTGGGTTCTCCAAAAAGATGGCATGCCTCTGGGGGCCCCTGAGTGGCTCAGCAGGTGAGCGTCTGCCTTTGGCTCAGGTCGTGATCCCAGAGTCCTGGGATTGAGTCTCGCAGAAGCCTGCTTCTCCCTCTGCCTACGTCTCTGCCTCTCTCTGTGTATCTCTCATGAATCAATAAATACAATCTTAAAAAAAAAAGATGGCATGCCTCTGATGTGTGGGGGAAGAAGACATTTCCGTTGACACATTAAACATTTAATTAATGAATAAGTGTTCCCTTATCACCCTATATATCATTATCATCATATCTTCATCACTAAACTCTCAGGCATTTCTGATTCCACTCTGCGACTGTCCCTGCTGCAGCCCAACTGTCACATTGTTAGATTCATACTAGATAAGGCTGGTCTGTGTGGCGTGGACAGCCTCTCATTTGTCCCTGTCTTCCCTTCTGTGGCAGAAGCATGCATTCTAGCAGAATAATAGCAACTGGCACTTCTCGAGAGCCTACAATGGACCAGCCAGGCCTGTGCCACTCAGACACAGGGCACAACTGGGAAAGGCAGGTCACCTTATCCCAAAGGACCAACCTCAGTTTACTCAGAGACCACACACAGATATGATCACAGCTGTGCGGTGGTGTGGTGGCCACGGGCCAGCTGGGAAGTCACACTCCTCACCGCTCCCCACCCGCCCGCTGCCCCCACCCCCAGCCTGACCTGTGGCTCCACCGCTAACTGGCTGCCTGACCCCAGAGGCAAGTCTCCGAACTTCCCAGCGTGTTTCCTCAGCTGAAATGGGTGCAAGTGGTAATGCCTAGTCTAGGGGGGTTGGTAAAAGGATTAAAAACGCTAATGCATTTAAAAGACTTGGGCACAGGCTGCCAGGCCCATCAGTGAGCTCTTCAGAAATCCCAGCTATAAGGATTTGTCTTCTCATTAGGAGCATGGAGGGATCAAGAAGAGGCAGGAGACTCAGCAAAGGAGATTGCGAAGTGGCACCAGGGAGGGGAGCAGGGACCCTGAGAGAGGGGTGTCATGGAAACCAAAGGGAGAGAATGCCAGGAAAGAGGGAGAGCTAATGCAGAAGGGCACTCAGAGGCCGGTTTCTTCTGACAAGACAAAAGAGTAATTTTCATCTCTTAGCGACCGATCAGAATAAAGGCAGAGAGGAAGAAAATTAGCCTCTATATAGCTTTATATTTTTTAAGTTTTTATTTCAATTCTAGTGAGCTGACATACAGTGCAGTATTAGGTTCAGGTGTACGATGTAGTGATTCCACACTCCCATGCATCACCTGGTGCTCATCACAACAGGTGCCCCCCCTTCCTCTCCCCTCTGGGGACCATCAGCATGTTCTCTAGAGTTTAGTCTGTGTCTTGGTGTGCCTCTCTCGCTCTCTTCACCCCCCACTTTGCTCATTTGTTTTGGTTCCTAGATTCCACAAATGAGTGAGATCATACGGGATTTGTCTTTCTCTGACTGACGTATTACTCGTATTACTCGCTCCGCATTGTACTCTCTGGCTCCCTCCACCTCATGGCGAATTAGCCTATAGCTTTCGGTGAAGCCTTCCTTAGACTAACTCCATTAATCTACTCGGTGTCAGTTCCATGTCTTCTAATTAGGGAAAACACGTATTTCTTTTATTTTCTTTAAAATGAAACAAAACAAAACAAAAAAGAAATGTCAGGCTACATTAGATTGGTGAAATAAAAATTGAGACAATCTCAAATTTACACAGCAGAGGGGAAGGGAAGGGAGGAAAAAAGGATGGATCACAGAACAGGTTTTCAAAGCAATGGTCTGTACCAAACCCCCAGACTGACTCCAGTGAAGAGGAGGGTAGCAAATGGACAGACTGTGCTGACGTTCATTCCATCTTTCTGTTCTACCTGGTGCCACAAAGAGATTATGGCAGCATAAACTGGGTCTTAGGACAAAGATTCAACAAGTATTTCGGGAGTAAAATTGAGAAAAAATAATCAGGAAGTGGATTGGTATTCTAATCTAGACCAGATGAGGGAGGGAGATACCTCCCAAGGGGAGATTTAGGGAGACCTAGAAAGGAATTAAGTGCTGTCAAGTGTTGGGGGCTCCTGTGGCTTTGAGGGCCTGAGTGGAGCTGCCGCTTGCCTGGGGTGGGGGAGGGGGTTCCCTTTGGCTTGGGAGAGATGAGGGTGGCTTTCAGGGTCCCAAGGGTGCCCCAAAGAGATGCAAAGAGTGGCCCTGTCCTGGTCCATTATCAGCTAAAGGATCTGAGGCAGAGAAGCCCACCCAGTCTCCCTCTGGCCATAAAGGTTAAGAAGGCTGAGGCTTAAGGGGGATTTGGGGTGCTGTGGGTGGGGGAGGGGTGATGGCTGAGCACAGGAGGCTGAACCTCCAGCCCTCACCACCATCAACACCCAGAGGTGAGTGTGGGTGGCTGGATTGCAGGTGTTAGGGTCATATGGTCAGATTGCCAACCATTGATAGAGCAGGAGCAAGAAGCCAGGGAGGAGCTGAGAGGCTGTTTCTGGAAAAGCTGAGAGGCTGTTTCTGGAAGCACTTTGAGGCAGGTTCTGGGTATGGTAGCCCAGGGAAGGCTGCCCTGGCTTTTCCTGCTCCCTTGGGGCCTCATCCTGCACCCCTTTGACTCTACTGAGCTTGTCATCCCTACTGAGTTGTCATCAGCTGCTAGCCTAATTAAAACCCCAGTGTCTCTCTCTGAGCCCCTCAACCACCACCATTCATAGGACAGCACAGCCCAGAGTTCTTATGATCCCCTGGACTCTGCAATTGCTCCCAGGCTTCCTGTGGCCATGGATCTCTGTGTGTCTCCAAGTCATTGCGCCCTCACCCAAGCTCCCCTCACCCAAACAGCTCCGTGCTGCTCCCCCAATGCCCCAGCTGCTGAGGCTCACCTCTCAGTTCGGTGGAGTCCCTATTTCCTATATCACTAACTCTCCTGGGGTCTCAAGTCTGCGCGATCAGCTCCCTCCCCGCATCCCTCCAGCCCTGTCCAGTCCACAGGAATAGGGACATCCGCATCTATGCCAGACACAGGGACCCTTGGGGGCTGAGGTCCCACGTGTCCTCTTTTGTCACCCTCCAATCTGAGATCAAGAGATGGGACAGGACAGGTTCCAGGGGGGTCCACCTCCTCTTTCTTTCCCCCACAAGTACCCCACTGCTCACTGAAATGACTAAAAATTCAGTGTGGAGCTTCTCAATTGCTTATCACCAGGTGCCTGGCAACTACATGGCTTTTCATCCCTCCCCAGCTAGCCTCAATTCTTGGGGTGGCAAGGGGTTAGCTTGGGCACCTGCGTCCTCCAGCAGATCACTTCAGGGCTTATGGGGGGAGGCTCTGGTGCTATCTCTCAGGAGCTGAGCCTTGTGCTGGGCTCCCAGGAGGAGCTGCTCTCTCCTTTCTTTCACGGGGGAGTGCAGAGAGGGTGGTGTCAGGCCACAGGAGAGATTCCAGGCTGTGACTGGGATGTCCATAAGCAGCAGCAGCAGCAACAGCAGCAGCAGCAATCCAAGGAATTCACCCAGAGGAGGAAGAGTGCTCCTCCCCAAAATGATCCAGGAACAGTGCCACTGGAAGCCCCCATTTGGGGGCTGTTAGCTCAGCACCAGACCCCTCCTCCATCAGACTCCTTCGGACATGGTAGAGAAGCAAGCATTGGGGCAGTCAACCAGTGGGCACACCTAACCTGGCTGTGTGACCTAAGGGACAGGCCAGTTGTGGCAAGGGCCCTGTCCATCTACCTTTGGGGACGATTTCAGCCCATTTCTTCTTCCCTTTTCCTCATCTGCAAATCAAGGTTGATAAAAACCCCACCTCAAGCTACAACCCCACTCCTTTATAGCTTTTTACTGTATTTCTTATTCCTTTTTCCTTTACCTTTTCCTAAAATAATAACACAGAGGCATTGAAATATATGCTGATATATATATATATATATTTATATTTATATTTATTGACATAGAAAGAAGCCCACAACATACATCGTTTGGTGGAAAAATACAGACTATAGAACAGCACTTATATTTGATCACTTTTATCTATATGTATATCTATCTGGGTACATAGGAATAGGGAAAGTTCTAGAACACTCATCAAAGGGTTGACAATAGATCAGGGTGGAGAGTTTGGGGTAATTTGCACTTCGCTTTTTTGTACTTTGTTTGAAGATGTAACGATGAATTATGCCACTTTCACAAAGAGAATAAAGTCATCAAGGAAATGGGCACACAGAGAAAACAGACCCTTAGGCTGCAGAGAGGGGAGTGGGGAAGGCAAGGACAGAGGTCAGGCTGTGTCTCCCTCCATAGAACTGGTATCCAAGACCCTTTCTACTCCGCTCCGAAAAAGAAAGCTGCTTTGTGAATTCATGCAACGAGAAGCTCCCCTCCCCAGTTGTCACACTGCTGGACACTGAGTACGGGTCAGGGTTCACTTAAGGCTAGGGGTTACCACCTCACTGCAGTTCAGAAGGGTCATTTTGTTCGCCGGGCGCCTCTCTTGGCCCCTCCTCCTCTGTATGCGTCAGCTCCTGCAGGGTGATGATCAGATTCTCAAACACCTGGGCCCTGTTGCTCTCATTGTCACAGGTTTCCTTGGAGTGGCCCTCCTCACCGCAATATGAGCAGCGGATTGTGTGTTTTCGCTTCCTGGCTCTACGCAGATTCCCAGAGCCATCATTCTTGTGCCCAGAACCCCCACTGGTGGACGGAGATTGAGCCCGGGAACTGTCCGGGGAATCAATGACCAACACTTGGTCCTGAGATCTGGCCCTGCGTCTGGGGAGAGGGGAAGCTGAGAAGGACAGTGGAGGGTCCTGAGACTCTACCAGGATCACGTCCTCATCTGAGTCATCCAGGGCATCGTCTATCTCTATCACGTTGCAGTCAGCACCGTCCACCACTATCGGAGGGGAGCTCTGACATGCCACGGGGCTGGTGGCCCTCTCCACCATCGACTCAGATCTTTTGGGCCGTTTCTGTTTAATAAAAGTGTCATCCCAATCCTCCTCCTCCCTTATCATCTTGATTAACTCTAGGAAATTGGGGAGCCGCTCCTGCTCGTTTGCATACATCCTGAGAAGATGCTTCAGCCTAAAGCGCAGGTCCCCATTCAGCTCGGCCCCTAAAAGGAGCTGGTGCAGGCGAGTCTGGTTTGCATCTTTCTGAGCTATGATCCCTGCCTGAATAGCATTCTGGAGCTGCACCTCTAAACGGATCACATAAAGGGAGGCTTTCTCCCCTTGTGCCTGCAGGGTGTTAAAAAATTTACCGTGAGTGGACACACTGCTTTCAGATTCCCCAAACACCAATTTCATCGCGCGCAAGAAATCTGCCACGCTTAGGTTGGGGTTGGCCGCCTGGAGCAAAAGCATGACCTCCCTGGCGGGGCCTCGGAGGGTTTTCAGCAGGCGCTTGAGCTTTTCCTCCTCGGACATATTCCAATCGGGTAGGGCCCCATTGACTTGGATCAGCCAGTTTTCAAAGGTTTCTTCCCCCTGGGCTGGCACCACCCTCCCCGAGAACACCTTCATGTTCCTCTCTGCCATGCTGGCCATTAAAGGACCGAGACTCCTCCCCAGGGACCGCAGCATTGAATGGGCCCAGGGCGGCAAGGGGGCGTTTTGCCGCCGGCTATTAGCCATGCGCGCGATGATGCTAGCCATGACCGACTGCCCACGACGATCGACGCTCCGGTATCCGAACACAACAAGCTGCTCAGGCTTTGTGGGGAAGCCTAACCTGCGGGCGCGCTGGGGCACTCTGCCTTCTTCCTATCTCGGTAGGGGCTGTGAAAAAGAAAAACAACGGGGAGGAGTTAAGAACGGAACTGGCTGCAGTTGGGTTTCTCCCTTCCCGAATGTCCTGCAGTACATTTTATATCTGCCCACTGCCCTAAAAATATCTTCTAGGAGACTGGCAATTACAACCTCACGGAGCCAGCCGGTGTCTCCATGTTAGCAGGGTGCTTTTTACAGCCACATCCATCCCCTCCCGCCAGTCGTCCAGGAGGGCAACTGTTGCTTCTAATTCTAAGTATGAGAGTGTATGGAAGCTGACATTGGGCTCTCAAAATAGAGCACAGTGGTCACAGATTTGTAGGAATAAATAAGGTCTGGTCTCGGTAACCTCCTGGCCTCAGGTCCCAGCCACACCCCCTTCTCAAAGTTCTCCCCTCCCCCGTTATTTCTCAGAATCTTACAGGAGCGCAGGACCTGGCGCGCGCGCCTTTATTTCACTCCCAGCTTCTGTAACCGGTGGCCTTGGTGCGAAAGCTCGTCGTCGGGCTACGCTATCTCTCTGTCCACCGGGGATCGCCGATCCGGGACCTCGGGGCGTCCAGACTGCGCCGCCGCGGAGCGCAGGGGAGGGAAGGGTCAGGAGCGGCCTCATCCCTCATCCCCCTCCCTCCCTCACCGCACCACCCCAGCCCCCCGCCCCCGCCGCCTCCGCCGCCCCCGCGGGCGGCGGGCGGAAAATTCTTCTCCCACCTTCTGAGGACGAGCCAAAGCGACCCCCGCCCCAGGACATCTTCCCCGAGAAATGGTCGGCCTACCAGCTCCGCAATCAGCCGCACAGAATCCAAGTTCGGATCCGGCTTTAATGGGCTGCCACGGAGACAGGGAATAGGAGTTGGACACGCACACCCACATACTCCTCTCCAGAGGAGGAGATGCCAAGGGGGTTCAAGACAGACAGTTTGCGTCGGTACCCCCACCCTGACCCCGTGCCCCCTCCCCCCCGAATACGCCCCCTTCTCAATCCAGGCAAATCCTACCCATTGGGCAGCATCCAGCAGAACCCCACCTCCGCCCTCAGGCAGCCGGGCCACCGGAGTGCTCCTTCCCCCGCCTCGCAGTCCTCGATTCCCCAAACGGGGAGCCGCCCAGGACCGGTGGAGCTTCCCCTCCTCTCTCCGCGCCGGGGCGATCGCGCCCCCCCCTTTTTTTTTCACCTGTGCTGGGCCGGTGGGCAGCGGACGCTCAGGCCTTGCGGGCGATGGATGCCGCCTTCCGGTCTCCGCGGCCCCGCAGGGAAAAGGCACGACCGGGAGCTGCCCGGGGAGCTGCTCCGCACGGCCTCCCAGCGAGGGGTAGCCGAGTCCCGACAGCGCGGTTCCCACGGCAGCCGCCGAGGCTTTTATCCTCTGCGCACGGAGACAAAAGAGCGTGACGAAGAGGCGGGCGCGGCCAATGAGCGGGGCGCGGGGGCGGGCTCCCGCGCAGTCTCCAGCCGGATGCACAAGCACGCCCGCGGAGGCGGCCGGTGGAGGGGCTGCGAGGCAGGCTGGAGGGCCGCGGGGCGTCCAGTGCCGCCTCGCTGCCGGGGCTGGGAGAGTTTGCGGCCCTCCCCCCACCCCCCGCCCCGCTCTCCCTCTTTCTCCCCTGGCTCAACTCCGCGCCTTGGGGCCGGGCGGGCGCCTGAAACACAGAATGGCATCGAAATCAAAGAAACAAGAACCGTAGTTCACCTTGGAGGGGGGGGCGGGGGAGGAGCAGTAGCGGGCTCTCTGGGCGAACAGGCTCGCCCAATTCTTCTGGGAGAAGAGTCCTCCCCAGGCCTCCAGGCTCTTGACCAGTACTCACTAAAGGATGGGTGCAAGGCTGGCTGCAAGAGAATTTTTTTGGGGGCGCTTGTTAGAAATGCAGATTCCTGGGCCCGGTATCTGGGGGATTCTCCTTTCCTAGGACTAGAGCTGGGTGTGGTTTTGCGCTGTGTTATTTTTTTGTTGTTGTTATTTTTAACCAGCGCTGTTGTTCATTCTGAAAGGGTGCAGGGACCATGGTGAATAAGTAAATGGACCTGCCTCCAGCGTATCTGTGGTGAAATGCAGCTCCAGAGCAGATGCCCCTACTTGGGGTCCATGGTCTTCCGGAAATTGTATGCAAAGATTCTGGAGTCCTTAGGAAACTGAATCATGGCCACCCAAATATACCAAGTCCTCATCCCTGGAACCTATAAATGTTACCTTGTAAAATAAGAGTCTTGTGCATTTGTGGGTAGGTTAGGGATGTTGAGGTGGGGAGAATATCCTGGAGTATCTGAGTGGGCCCTAAATGCAATCACATGTCCTCGTGAGAGAGAAGAGGGAGAGCTGATGGATGCAGAAGCGGAGCAGATGGTATCAAGACAGGTGCAGGGGGTGGAGTGGTGTGGCCACAAGCAGAGGAGTGCTGGCAGTCACCAGAAACTGGAAGAGGCAAAGAACAGAGCACAGCCCTGCCCACATCTTGGGTTCCACCTTGAGAAACTGATGTTGAACTTCTGGGCTCCAGAACTCTGAGAGTATAAATTTCTCTTGGCTTAAACCACTGAGCTTGTGGTGATTTGTTATGGCAGCCACAGGAAGCCAATATAGACTCTGTCTTTTCCTGAGTCCACAGCTTTGTAGATTTTTCAATGGGCCTGTGGTCCAGCAATGGTTAAAAACCACTCCCTTCCAGTCTTTCTTCATTAATATCTTTCTCTTTTGTTTTGTACTTGAGGAAGAAGTGTGAGGAATAGCACACAAGTGGACTGCACCCCCGAACCACAGCCCTCTGCAGGTGATATGGTTCTTCCATTTCCCAATTTGAGGACAAGGGTCTAGGATGCCCTTCTGTGAGCTCTTGCATGGACCTCTCCTTTGCTTGATTTGGCATCACCAGCTTCAAAGAAGGAGTGACTCCATGAAAACAGCATGCAGGGCTGTCTGGAGTGAACGAGTCAGAAGCCAGTGGCTCCTCATACTAATCTGCTAGGGTTGCCGTAACAAAGTACCACAGACTGGGTAGCTAGAACAACAGGCATCTATTTTCTCACAGTTCTGGGGCTCAGAAATCCAAATCAAGGTGCCCACAGAATTGGTTTCTCCTGAGGTCTCTCTCCTTGGCTTGCACATAGTTGCTCTCTTGCAGCCTCTTCACAGGGTTGACACTCTGTGTGCCTGCTCTGATGTTCAGATTTCCTCTTCTTTTTTATTTTTCTAAGAATTTATGTATCTATCTATCTATCTATCTATCTATCTATCTGAGAGAGGGAGAGAGACTCTCAAGCAGACTCCACGCTGAGTACAGAGCCTGATGCAGGGCTCGATTTCGCCACTGTGAGCTCATGATCTGAGCCGAAACCAAGAGGCTGATGCTCAGCCGACTGAGCAACTAGGTGCCCTTCAAATTTCATCTTCTTATAATGACCCCAGTTGGATTAGACTGAGACCCACTCTAACAGCTTCATTTTGACTTAATCGCTTCTTTTCAGAGCCCATCTCCAAATATAGCTACATTTTCAGGTACTGGAGGCCAAGGCTTCCACACATGTACTGTGGAGGGACACAGTTCAGCCCATAGCACCCTCTTTTCCCTTCCTTCTGGTTCTAGGGAAGCATGTCTCCTTTCCCTAATGTACCATGTAGCTAGGAGATCCCTGTGGGACTTTCGGGGCTCAGAGTGGTGGTGGCATGCGCTGCACAAGTGCAGAATTGTTGCTGTTGCTTGCTTGACTGGTGATGACACCTGGAAGTACATGAGCAACTGGATGCCCTTCCACTCCTGCTGGGTTCTTCTTTAGCCTGTCAAGATACTTCACCTGCTCCTTTCTGCTTTCATATTTCTAACCCTAGTACTTAGAATTCCTTGGCATACACCATCCAAATTTGGAGGTTAACCACTTTCCAAGCTCACGATTGTGGCCTGTCTCTTGTGGATGGAACTGTGCAGGGTAGGGGGTGGTAAAGGCAGGGAGAAGGCAGGCTGGTCCATTTGCAGAGTCAGGGTGATGCCGGCAGTAGATTATGGGTTAACATCAGACTGTTCCTTCGTTTCCCCAGCACTACAATTTCTGACCCTGGCCTCTAAGCAGTTTCTTTTTCTGAATTTGAATGGTTTCACCACTAAGTCAAGTGATCTGCTGCTGGACCTGGTGGCATCCAGAAAAACAAAGACTAGACCTCGGAGCTCTCCGACAAAAATGTTGAAAGGAAATGAATCGAGTATCAGGTATCTGGGTTGGGTCATTAGAACAAAGAGAGGGTCTTTCCATGCAGGGCTGGGAGGAGCATCTGCTAAGCTGGCTCCAGCCGATTAATGAGCCTCCCTTATCTCTGGCTTCATGCTTTTGGGGGTGTCAGCAGACACTTACAATTGCAATGATCCAAGGCTCTCTGGTAGCTCTAAGGAGGCCACATTTTATTTTCCAATTGCAAAACCTAAACTTTAAAAAACTGACAGGAGCTAAAACTTTCAGCTGAACCAGTACTAGCTACGTATCTTTGGTTGCCTTGCTTCTCTTTCTCAGGAAGTTTCCATCCATTATGTCACTTAAGCATCTCCAGCAGTCCTGTTGAGACAGACATTTTGCTTCCGCTGAAGTAGCCAAGGGTTTGCAGACACTTCGCACCAGAGCTCTGGCTCATTGGAATTTAAAGCCTGAATGGGGATGTTTATGAAAGGCCCTTCCCAGACTAAGCTGGGACCCCGAGGGCGGTATCATTAATGAAAATATTCAATGAGACGGTGATAAAAAAGATATTTTTAGACAAACAAAAACTAAGAGAGTTTGTCACCGGCAGATTGCACTAATGGAAATTCTAAAGGAGGCACTTCAGGAGGAAAATGATCTTAGAAGAACAAAATGCGGGACGGAATGAAGAGCAAGGAAAGTAATGGTACGTGGGCAATACAAGTGAACATTGATGGAGGAAGGAATCATAAAAACGTCCGTTCTGTTTTTTAAAAAAATAAAGTACAATATGAAAATACGTCAGAAGCGGGGTAAATGGAGCTCAAGTTTCCTGAGAACCTCATTTCATATTGGAAACAAGTTAGGTACTTACTAAACCTAGACTTTTATCAAAGGTAATTATGTATGTTGGAAGTAGTGGGATGTAATTATTAAAACAACAGCAACAGAATGTAGATCTTCAAACTAGGAGAGGGAAAATAATTGAAAAAGAAAAAAAATTCTCAATTCTTTTAAATCAAGAAAGAAGAGGCAAGAGAGACACAGGTGGAACCAATACAAGCACAAAATAACATGGTAGCTTGAAAAAAAATGGTAGCTTAAAACCCCAATATATCAATAATTTATTAAATGCTTATGTGCTAAATGCTCAAGTATTGTCAGATAGGATTATTAAATACATCCATATGCTGTTTAAGAGAGACAAATCCAGGGCACCTGGGTGGCTCAGTCGGTTAAGCCTCCAGCTCTTGGTTTCAGCTCAGGTCATGATCTCAGGGTCGTGAGATGGAGCTGGCACCCTGCTCTGTGCTCTGCACAGAGTCTGCTTCAGTTTTTATCTCCCTCTGTCCCTCCACTCCCCTATGCTCATTCTCTCAAATAAAAATAAATAAGTCTTTTCAAAAGAGAGAGAGAGAAAGAGAAATCCAAACTATAAGTATACAGGTAGGTTGACAAAAAGATGGAGAGAGATAAATCATACAAATAATTATGTAAGTGATAGAAAACTCGTATAGCTATATTCATATCAGACAAAATACACTTAAAAAGCAAAAAAACGGATCCCTAGGTGGCTCAGCCGTTTAGCGCCTGCCTTTGGCCCAGGGCGTGATCCTGGAGTCCCAGGATTGATTCCCGCATCAGGCTCCCTGCCTTGAGCCTGCTTCTCTTCCCTCTGCCTGTGCCTCTGCCTCTCTCTGTGTGTCTCTCATGAATGAATAAATAAAATCTTTAAAAAAAAAAGCAAAAAAAATTATTAGAGATATAAAAAGTCATTTCATAACAATAAGAGGTTCAATTCACCAAGAATGATCATGCATTTATAACCAAACCTCAAAAATATATAAAGGAAAAGTTAACTTAGTAGTAGGAGAAATAGACAAATATACAATCAGAGGGGGAGGTCTTTCCCTATCTCTCTCAATAGTTCATCAAAGAGACAAAAAACATGTCTCTAAGGATATATAATTTTTGAACAACATAATTAGTAACTTGAGCTTATAGCCAATGTATAGAACACTGCAACCAGGGGCACTTGGGTGGCCCAGTGGTTGAGCATCTGCCTTTGGCTCAGGTCATGATCCTGGGGTCCTGGGATTGAGTCCCACATTGGGCTCCTTGCAAGGAGCCTGCATCTCC